GAACTGTGCAGATACTGTACACAGGTAAGCTGAGGTCAAGGGATCGACCCCTGGGATCTGCATCAGCTACTGCCAAAGGTGAAAACTGTTTCATAACCTGAAAAACCTTACTACCCATCACTGTTTCTTAAACCACCAACACTTCCCCACCAGTTCACCCATACCTGTTTTCTTGAACCAAGTAATGCATTTTTTCGAGCCTGCTTTGAATGGGTACTGCAAGTTGGCGAATCGAAGGCTCCACCGCTGCCAGCAGTCTGTGTGACAAAGGCGGGTGCCATTTCATTAGGGCTTGACCGCTCACTAGATCTGCAATATGTGAATGAATCTTCCTCTAGATCATGGAGGGATACAGTGTCCACTGCCCTCATGATTGCCATTTCAGCTCTCTCTCATTTTTCTTTTCGAGGCGCTGTATCTTTCCATTTGTTTTATGGCAGTACTCAGTCAAAAAGGCTACAACCGGGCACACGCCTTCCACCCATCCACCAAAGCAGTCCAGAACAGATGGAAAAGGGCTCTGATTAGAGAAGGAAGCCTGCGTCACATCCCATGGGCCACATACGCTCACATCATGCCTACCTCCCACCGAGCCCTTCAATGGCAAATAACTCACCACTGTCTCCCGACCCCGGATTGGATCACAACAAGATCCAACCTCGAGCAGGCCGGGATCCTCTCCCCAATATGTGCTCACTGCGGTCCGAACGCACAGCCACGAAGGGCGGATCTCGAACGCTGCCTACTTGCGTGCCCAATGGCAACTCGGTTGTGGCAATGGTGGGACGTGATGTGGCACACGCTTACGGGCTCTGCATTCCACTAGGACATTGCTCTAATCCTAATGGGGAAACGCCGGAACATGCCAGCAGTTTGGACACCCTTTCAAAGGAATTTTTTTGGCCACATGAGATTGGCAGTCCTCTTGGTAATCTGGAGGATCCGGTGCTCTGCAGAGCGACAAGATGCTTCCTTTGGGTTCCACCAAGCCAAGGCACATTTACTGGAAGTCATACGTGCAAACCTCAGCAAAGCCAGCAAGAAGCTTGTCGAGGTACTGGCAGCAACCCAGGATGAGGAGTGCAGGAGAAAGGCCATTGCTGCTTTCCGGGAAATCTGGCTTGACCCCGATTGTAAGCCGAAGTGCACGATAACGGGAAGCTAAGATGGAAGAACTGGGCAATGCAGGATGACCAGTGGTCCTACCGCCGGGCCGAATGCTTCCCTGTGCCCCTGCCTCCCCGAACAATGGGCGCTATGCCCATGGTGAGTCTCAATGTGGGATCAGGAGCCCAACTCCAGAATGAGCTACCCGCCCGAGCCCACCCCCCCCCAAACCGGGGCACGGACGCAGTCAACCCAACCCCCCCCATCGACTGATCAAACACCGCCCCCCCTGCCCAACGATCCGCCCCCGGTCTCCCCGCAGCCTCCCCCCCCGCTTCCAATGGTTCCTCCGCTCTGACGCCGCCACCACCCCCGGCTCTCTCAGTGGACCCGCCCTCCCTGACCCCTCCCGATCCCCCTCCTCTACCTTCGGGCCCCCCACCATTCCCGCCCCCCCACTCCCAGTCAACCTCCCCTCCCCATTCCCTTTCCTTCCTCAACCTGCTGGGCTCTCTGCCCCGCTCCCCAGCACTCCCCACCGAGCCACCTGAGCAGTCCAAGTACCGTGAGGCACTGGGCGCTGGATGACAGCTCAGACAAGGATGGCCAGCAATGCGGCGGTCCCTACCACAGGGGGAGGGAGAATGACAAAGGTGGACAACCAAAACCAAGCTACCCACAACATGCTCAACGAAGCTGCAAGAAGACCTGCTCAAAATAGGGACTGAGGCCAGTTAACAGGAGCATGAAGGGATACGACAATAATCATAGCACGAACAAGCGGGCCCTTCAGCAGTACGAAGGCCCATGATAGTGCAATAACTAGGAAGCTGGACCCGGTTTCCAGCAATCATAAAATAAAGTCAAGACTTCCAAGTGGGGGTGGGAGGGACCAGTGTGCAGCAGCAGGTATCTGGTGCCTGTTTCAGGGTGGAAGGCTCCCGGCCCCCCCATACATCCTGCTCAGTCAATCCCCTGGATCCCAGGGTAATCAATGCTGGCAGGAATATCCCGCATTGGTGTTGTTCTGATATGTTCTGAATTCTGTCTATGTATGGGACGCTGGACCTGTTTTCCAGCAGGTGTTGCTCCCCACCAATAGATGGAGCCTCCCCCCAGGTGCTAGCAGTGTCTGCTCGTACCAGCACCACTAGCACGTGGGGGCGTGTTTTGTTAAAAAAAAAAAGAAAAAAAAAAAGATTCATCCTCTACTTGGCCCTCACCACACACCAAGCACCTGCAGAAAAGACAAAACTCAGAACATGATGTCTCTCTTTTGTTTAAAGCCCGGTAATGGCTCGGGTAACTAATGTGGTTCTTTTTTTTCTTTTTTCTTTTTTTCATAAAAGCCCAGGTTGTTGTAGAGGCTGGATTACAGACATATGAGAGTCACCTTCAGCACTCGGCCATGTGGTAGAGGCCCCCTAATCCTATGGGACTCCCTCCCTTTTTTTTTTTTTTCCTTTTTTTTCTTTTTTTTTGAAGCACACCCCCACCAGTGTTAGTGCTGCTGGTAAGAGCATACACCACTAACACCTGGGGAGAGGCTCCATCTATTAGTGGGGAGCATCACCTGCTGGAAAACGGGTATGGGACTCCCTCCCAACCTACCTCTTTTGTAATTTCTCTAATGTGGTTCTTTTTTTTTTTTTTTTTTTTTTTTTTTGGAGAAAACAACCCGAGTGAATGCTAGGGGTGCTGATAAGAGCAGACACCACTAGCATGCTCGGGGAGGCTCCATCTATTGGTGGGGAGCAACACCTGCTGGAAATCGGGTCCAGCATCCTCTAAAAGCAACCCGAATTCATGTTAACATGCCACGTGTCCATCCCACTCAAGACATGTGTGGTCAACCAAACCGACATGCAGGCACACTCCATTACCTGATGAGCAGCATTGATTGCCCTCAATAGAGGGGATTCTGCCCATCGTCGTCAAAGTCAAATTCCCACTCCGAAACCCTCATCGCCAACTAACAAACCCTTGCAGCACCATGAGGAGGAGAGGCAATCAGAATAGGAAGTTAGAAAGTTAGAAAGCTAGGCTACCAGAGTGGCCCGGGTCCACTTGCCCGGCCGGGCCAAAAAGAAATAAAAAAATAAAAAAATAAAAAAAACAAAAAATATTTTTTATTTGAAATTTTTATTTTAAATTTGGTAAAGAATTTCGATGTGACCCTGAGGCAAACGTTGTTCAGTTTATTTCTGCATAACATAGTTTTTTTTCAGATTTTTTGGATTTTTTTTTTTTTTTTTTTTGGCTGGGACCTTCCCTAGTCCTTGCACGGCGGGGCCGCCCGGGAAAATAGGGTGAACCGGGCGGCCCGGCTGGTAGCCTAGTTAGAAAGTCAATTATAGCGGATCCCAAAGTCATTACCTACCCTGGAAAGCTCTTCAGATACTAAATCAGAGAAGGCAGCCGAGTCAGATGAAGCATGCAGCGAACATCGAAGAGGAGGAAGATCCTAGGCAGGTGGGCTAGGTTCCACATATACCAATTATAGTCCCCCTCTCTAGATAGCACACAAGGGTAAATGAGGGGCCTCCCCAAGGCCACAGTCCTACCCTGCGACCCTCCCACCCCGATCCCATTGAAGGCGATGCTATCTCGCTGGCACGAACAGCTCATGAACATGCAGAAAATGATCCCCTCCCCAAAAGGCCTACCTCATCCGAATAGGGCAAAAATCGTGGGAGGAGCCCGCTGCACCCAGCGACCACTCCCATCCGAATCACTGTTGTAATTGCTGTCTTCACAGCCGGCGAAATCGTCGTTGTTATCGGTGGCAACGACCTGAATGACTTGGATGCATGTCCTCGCCATCTTCACAGAGATCACAGTCCTCGCCGTTATTATTGTTTTTTTTTTTTTTCCACGTGCTGGGGACCGGGCCCAGCGTCCCTTATATGTTGTTAATGTCATTGTCGTCGTTGCTAGTGTTGTTGTTGTTGTTGTTGTTGTCGTTGCTGTCGTTGCTGTCGTTGCTGTTATCACCACAATCGTTGTTGTCGTTGTTGTTGTTGATGCGTTTGTTGTTGTTGTCGAGATTGACGGCGATATAGGTGAGATTGTCGTTGTCTTTTTAGTCGATTTCAATTATAGTCTAAGGACTTTGACGAAGATTTTGACAATGTGTAATTTTAAGAGTTCATAGACGCACCATTGAACTGATGTAAGTGGCACTGCTTTGCTTTTAATATAATTGGACTTTTGCATTAAATTTCCCTTCCACAGTCTCCATATGAAGGGTGTTTTTATAGTTTGAAGCAACTTAAGGTCTTGGACTTTGGAGAACTGCGCTTTGTTTGAATGTGTCAAGGGTTTTGCAAATTTCGCAATTCTTTCCTTCGCATATGATGTCATTCTTTTGGTTTATATTCTAATCATTTCGACACTTCTCTGCTCAAGGTTTGCATTGTGCCGAAATATTAAAATCCTATTTTTTTGTTCTACAATTTACCTTTTTTTTGGTTACTTCGTTAATTTCATTATGTTCACTTTTTACAAAACAGTTCATTTTTAACGAAAACGTCGTTTTATGTGAATCGTGCAAGTGACCTAGAAACCGATTGACCTACACTGTGAAATAGTATGTGGTTGTGCTCTACTGGGCTCGAGTAAACCGGACTATGCGAGCCATCAAGCAGTCTCATGACATTCCGTAAACCAAGAACATCAGGATACCCACCATCCCCCAGTCCCCACATACAACAACCATGGACTACCCCTTGGGTAGTGCCCAGGCAGTGTTTGTAATAACTTACGTGCGTCATCCCAAGGGGGTGTGTGTCCAACCCTGCGTCATTCTAATGCCCTGCCGGTGTCCATGCGCAAGGCTGCGGAGTTTTGAACCCGCAACCTCATACCACAATGTACATTTTCAATCGGTGTTCTAACCACTGAGCTGCCGCAGGTTCTATTCCTATGCCCGGAGCACTGACGGTCTCCAGGCCTAGATGTTGGAAAGCGTAGCGCTGCATAATCTAGTCATGTCGGTGCAGATTCGTCTTTTTGTTTTTTTGCCGTTTTGCGGGTGCAATATTTTTTTTCCTTTTTTGTCGAGAGGCGGTTAATGGAGGCCTTAATTTTCCTACAACTTCTCATGCCATTTATAACACCCCCCCCCCCAAGGGTCATTTTAACCAATTTTAACCAAACTTTCCACCAATTCAAACAGTGGAGATCGTACTGACTAATTGCAACAGGGGAAAAAAAAAAAAAAAAACCTATAAAACAGCAAGGCAAAAGGACACTTTCATGAAAGTTCGTCAACATTCCGATTTAAGAAATCTTGAGAAAAAGTTCAGAAATCTCATCAGAGGCAATTACCAAATTTGGCACATAGCAACCTCAAACCAAAACAAAAACAGGCAAAAAAAAAAAAAAAGCCCATAAAATGTGACTCGCAAACCCTAATTTCAGTTTTGGACCCGTTATTCAGAAGCTGAAAGTGGTGGTCCCAATTCAACCACTTGTGTTTTGTCGCTTAGCATCACGAGCTCCCCTCATGATGATGATGATGATGATGACGATGAATAGCGTCGGGCATGAATAGAACCTGCGGTCACGAACAAAAAGTACATGGGGGCTGGTTAGACACTCAGGCACGTAAAGTCCCCGAGGAATTCGCTCCATCTATCCTCGGGGATGCAATCGGAAAAAAAAAGTGAAGACAATCCAAAGGAAATTCCTTGGGCTCCGAGGATTCCCCAGCCATTTCTTCCTTTTGCCCAAGGGACCTCACGAGGTCCCTTGGGCAAAAGGAATCCGCATTTCACGGAGAGGAGCGGGCACATGGGTAGAGGGACGTTACAACCGAGAATCTGGATCGTGGCGGCACCGTATTGGCTGAAGACCTCAAGCTCATTTGATTTTTTTTTTCTTTTCTGACATCACTCGAAGGAAATGTCCTCGGGCGACGTCCCCGAGGACAGGTAGAACGAAGGGCCCAAATTTCCTTTTGAACCAAAATGAATTTTTCCTTTTGTCCGAGGATTTCAATAAGAGTGTCTAACGAGCCCCATAGTCGGGCTGTGGAGGTGCAGATTCGTGTTTTATTTCTGTCGAAGAAAGTACGTGGTCGGGCTATGCAGGTGTAGATGTGTTGTTGTTGTTGTTGTTGTTTTTGTTGTTGTTGTTGTTGTTTACTGTTTTGTGGACGTAGATCTGTTTTCTCTTTTTCCAAATTTTGTGGTGTTGCAGCAGTAGATTTATTTTTCTTTCTTTTGCGTTCTGAGGCTTGCTCTGCGAGGCCCGTTTGCTCAAAATACAAATACACAGGGCCTCGCTCCACTAACCGCATGCACGAAAGACCAAGACAAAAAATATGGAGGTGCATCTTTCCATATTCTAGTGGAAGATTCATTCTGATTTTGGCGGCGTAATACCTTTTCGTGCTTTAGCGGAAGGCTCCTTCTCAATGCAGTGTTTTTTTTTTTTTTTTTTTCAAGTTTTAAGTTTCAACAATGACTTTTATTATTTTCTAAAAATTCAACCATGTGTTGATGCTTGGGAGTTGCTCACAAACAAGGCAGAGGAGGAAAATGCAGATGCTACAATAAGCACACAGTGTGTCAGGGCGTATACGCACACTGGGTTTTCTTGGATTGTGCTCTGGAGCTGGACATGATCATCGTCAGATACACCTACGCATGACCGTGATTGCAGCCAGATACGTTTTTTCAAAAGTACTGACTTGAGTATGACTTCATGATGGATGATGTTGCACACTGTCTAATGTTGAAGCCGTCAGTAAACCAAACAAAGCCCCCAATGATAGAAAAACACTCCCTCAAACCAAGAGTTTCGAAAACATACCATAATGGTAGAAAATGACCCTCCCCCCCCCCCCTTGAAGTTAGAGAAACCCCAACAAGCATTCAGACTTTTTCAAGACCTAATTTCGTCTGACCGAATAACCAAAAAAAAAAAACAAAAAAAAACACAGTTTTAAGTTTTTTTTTAACTTTTTTAGCTAAATGTTTGAATTATGTTTCCATGCTACATTCGTAGTAGAAACATCATGCCTCAGCATGTGACAAAAGCTTAAGGATACAACTGTATATTACGTCGGTCGTAAAAATTAAAAATTAAAAAAATCGTAGTGGGAACACCATGCCTCATCATGTAAGTTGATGTAACAAAGCTATAGGATAACACTATCAGTCGGTCCCCAAAAAAAAAAAAAAAAAAAAAAAAAGTCCTCGATGTCATCCTGCGGCGGACGTGGTTGTTCACCAGCTGAGGTAGTCGACTCCCCTCCCCCCTTCCGTGTGGTCGGCCGAGTCTGAGTGCAACAAAACTAAAAGTCTGTGTATCATCATCGATGGTATGGATCAGGCGAAAACAACGATTCTCCATGCATCGAGAAGACGTCTGTCCAAAGAAATGTCGAATAACACAATTATGAAAACAAACCTTACAAGGATAATAGCTCACGGTAGGGCACCTTCGCTCTTCGTTCACACGTGGTTCCCGTACGTGTCGCACGGATCTAACTCTGTCGTCACGTCCATCGCCGAAGTTTTGCGAGATGTACAACCACGAGAAGGCGTGCTCCCGCCCCTGTTACGGGTGAAGGCGGACAACTGTGGGGGTCAGAACAAAAATAAATATGTGTTCATCTTCATGACCACGCTTGTCAAGTTCCATATCTTCGAGGTCGTAGAAATGGGCTTCATGATAGTGGGGCACACACATACTGACATAGACGCAAAGTTCAACTTATTCGTGAAAAAACTATCTGGTTGCGATGCTTACACCATGGACGAGCTCTTCACCGTCCTGCAAGCATCATGCGAGAAGGACGTCGATTGCACTCTCCTCACTGAACTGGCTGACCGGAAAAACGTCATTGACCCGTTCCTCGATCACAAAATCAAGGGGCATGCGACGCCGCATCTCTTCCGATTCTTCATGGATGGGGACAACCCTGCAATGTTGTACAAAGAGCATTGCACCAAGAAAAAGTGGAAGCCCGAGACTGACCTTGTGTACGGGTTCAAAAGGGGTGTAGACAACAAGTGGGCGGGATCTCAATGGAGTTTCCAGCCGTTTCGCGGGTCGCCTAACTTGCAGGCAGACGATTTAATTTACGAAATTGCGGGGATTCGTATTCTGCAAAAATCATGGGAAAATACGCAAAACGAATGGGAGACGCAAGATGAACACACAAGGGTGCTGAAATATGCACGGTTGAGGTATTGGACCGACCGTCTCAACGAATTTGAAAAGAGGTCGGAAAAGGACAGCGGTACGGTGCCCCTGCAAAGTGCCTTCTGGCATGCACCAATGCCTGAAAAGAAAGATGTCCTACCAGTTGCTCCGCATGTTATCGACTCGTCGACAAGGAAACCTTGTTTTGTCGGTCACACGAACGATGCCCCGAAACCAGAGTTCAAACCGCACGAGGTCATAGCCGTGAATAACTTCGTAGTATTCCGCGTACCGGACGATTACGTTGCGAAGGGCTGCACATTCTGGATCGGACGCGTTATGGAGCGGGATGATAATCGCATCCACGTCAAGTACTGGACACCTTGAGGAAGGGATCGCGACTTAGCGAAGTTGTATGCAGACGCATGGGCAAAGACATGGAAGGTCGAAACTGAATCAGGCGGCAGTTGGCAAGACCTCGACGTCGTTGCGTGGGCATGGACCAACAATAAACACTCTGAGACAGATATGCGGATCCCTAAGCGAGAGGCTCTCAATGCACAACTGTCGTTGGTCGTCCCTGACAAGATGTCTGCATCAACGCAAGATATGAGATCTATTTCAGACACATCTGTGTAGACGTGATGAGGGCAAGAGTATGAGTGAGAATCATCTGTTAAATACGAACAACATAGAGGACATCGCTAATTGTTCGATTGGATTGCACTTTTCTCATTTTTTCGTTGTGTTTAGAATGTTTGCATCATCGGAGTGGAAGCGTAATGAGAAATGGGGGACGCTGGTGAAATGGGAGGACCTCCTATCATGGAAAACAAGAATGCAGATAATGGTTGTCGGAGCGGAGGCAGTCAACTGGTGTGCATTAGAGCCCTCAATTGAGTTGAGGTACGACGAGGAACACCTACAAGTTTACAACTTCGCCAAGATTGAGTCTGATGCAAACAACGAAAGGCAAGGTAGTGGCAAATGGACCAAAGCGTTTTACGGGTTGGGGTTAGTTCACATGGGGGGGGAAAATGGGCGTGACGGATCAGTGACATGCGTGGCATTTTGTTCAAACGGTGCCTTGACACGGTGCAGGACACGGATTAAACCAACGAAGGTGTCGTCAATGGAGCAAATCACCACAATGCAAAGGGCGACGTTGAAGAATGTCAAACATGTATGCAACGAAATCAAAGACGCAATGTTGCGCTTCATCCACGAAAGGTCAAGGATCGCCATTCACGTGGCGATGACTTTAATCACATGGCACAACGAAGCCGAAAAAAAACAGAAAAAAAAAAAAAACTAACACAATAACAATGCTTAATATTGTCGATCATATTCGACGGTGCGAAAGTGGCAAACGGAACAACTTGCAGTCCGTCTTGCGTCGGTTTCCGCATTGACTGTCGTTCCGCAACCACACTAATCACTCTCTAATGACCCGCATATGCATGCGGGGAATGACAATAACTCTCTGGGTTTTTGCAAGTGATGCGTTCTATTTCATACTTCATCCCTAATTGTGATGTTTATGGTTGTTGTTTTTTTTTGCCCCATACAAAATGGATCCAGAATGGATGCTCATGCAGCGACGACAGAAGAAGTGGGGAACGTCGATAAAATGGGCGGAGATTACATCCGAGCGACTAAAAAGACATTGTAACGTGATCAGACTTATCACGTGGGATTTTGCCTATAACGAGCCGTCACTGAACTTATATCCTCGCAGTGTAAGAAGAAAAATCTCGTAAAGGTATTCGACCACAACAATACTTACAAGAACGATGGGATCGCAACGTGCAAACAAGTGTTTTACGGTTACGAGCTTGTGTCTGCCATGATGCCACACAAATACAGCGCAACCGTTGTATGTGTTGCTGTAAGTTATCGTCAAGGGCTAACAGTATATGCAACACAGATATGAAAACACAAAATATCGTGAAGGAACGATGAAGATTTGATGATGCGAGCGTACAAGCAACACATCAAACAGTATTGTATTAACGCACGGGATGCAATGCTGGAATTCGTAGCTCGAAGAATACCTATCACAGTCGAGATATCGTCAGTCATCATAAAAGAGAAAGATGCGTCAGGGGTTTCTCGAAAATCCAAGAAAATAAAACTAACTACCAACTTCAACATCATGGACAGTGTACTCCGCCGAGCAAACGGGCAACGCACCAACCTAATTCACTTTCGACGTTGTTGCATCTGTTGACAGAAGATTGCTAATGAGTCGTTTGCTTACAAGGTAGTAGAATTTTCACGTGTGAGAGAGTTTTTCATGCATTGAAGTTGGAGTAGACGTTTTTATTTTTTTCATTGACCGATTTAGTTGTTTTTCCTTGTTGACAAGGCGGATTTCCTCCAAGTAGCTACATGTTCACCATCATTTCCCAACAAACGATTTCGTTTTTTTTTTTAGTGTAGACCATGTATCATATGTCTCCAACTTTTGTAGACGTTCATAGAGAAAGCTTAGAGAGAGAGGGAGAGAGCTGAGAGAGAGAGAGAGAGAGAGAGAGAGAGAGAGAGAGAGAGTAAAGGGGAACGTCGAGGTGTCCTCTCTATGTATACAATGTTAAAAAAAAAACACGAACAACATTGTCGCTTGAACATAATTTGAATTTTCAATGTTCACCTCTTATTTTCAAACATAGCAATTCGGTAATAAAAAAATACATTTGGGGGGGGCGGGACAAAACAGGGGGCTCGATATGTTTTCGAGCTGTCTCTTATACACATCTAGATGTGTATAAGAGACAGCTACAAAACAGGGGGCTTAATATGTTTTTGAAGGAGGGCAGGAGGGCAGGGGAGCAAAGGGGAGGGTATTTGCGGGGACAACACAACACTTCGATAAGTATTAAATACATGTAAACAAACGTAAGAATAGCAAACCAACCAATGCAATCATGAAACAACCCACATATGTACTGCCAATCATAGGTGTTTATTGGTATGATACTCAATATGTTTCTTTAATCTTAATGTATTGGCCGGAGAAAACCAGAAAATTTCATGATTTTATATTGTCAAAGCTAATAAATGTTAATCGATATGTTTGAAAAGTAACAAAACTGATCATAAAGACCTCTATAGCTTCACATAATGACCATGAAATTGTAACATCCCCCAAATTTTATAAGAAAGCGATGTAAAATTTGCGGTGAACAGAACCACAAAATACAAAAAAAAGTGGGGTATCTCCCAAAAATTGACTTAACAAAACATCAAAAGTCATCAAAATCACAATGAAAATGACAATTCCAATTTCGTTCAAAAAATATAAATTGTCCGTTTTAACGAAATCGTTGTTGGAAGATGTGGTCAAGATGGGAAGGGTTTGAGGTTGTGGGTGGGGTCGGGGATCAAGTGGGCAGGTGATTGTATCAAGGCTAGGTGTGTGGGCGGGAGCGGAGGGACGGTGTGTCGGGTCATTGACGTGGGAGGTGGTAAGGGAGTGGGGGGAGGAGATCGCAGAAGGGAGTTTGTATTGTGAGGAGGAGCAGAGGGAAGGGGGTACGGCCTCATATGTGAGTGGAGGAAGGGAAGGAGTGAAGAAGGCAAGTTTTTTACTACAGGGACTTACGCGGATGAAACATCGCATAGTGTGTCATTTGTATCGAAGAGGTGGGCAAGGTATGGTCTGCGGCTATCGGGACGGGTTAGAATGATGGAGCGATCGAGCATTCTTTTGGCAGATTCGGTAATGTCAGTGCTCGACGCAATCCTGCGAGTGAATTGAAGACAAAATTAGAGAGAGAAAATAAAATAAAGATATCGGGAATTTCTAAATAAGAGAAAATTTAGGTTTCTCATAGAAGCATGTTTTTTCCTAGGTTTAGTAAACTGAGAAGGTAGTAGGTGGGCCCGGGAGGAAAAAGGTAAGAAGAAGCTGACCTCGGGGGAGACGGGCGAGCATAGGGCATGGACACACCAGAGGAGACCTGTGGAAAACTCAGGCGTCTGAGCCGAGACGACGTCACATTAGAAGGATCATGATGGTGAATGCGTAAAAAATTCCCCACCGCTTAACTCATATGTCGTTGTAGCGGAGCGTTTCTTGAACGCCACGCCGGTAGGTCTCGTGAGTTCTGAGTAAGTCTGGGTATGGCTAGCCAGGCGAGTTGGGGGGAAGGGGAGTATATAGGCGGATCCTCCGTGGAAATGGGACCTCACAGGGTAATGATCCACCTGTATCCTCTCCACCACGTCGCACGGTGGTGGAGTGGATAGCTATGGAGAAAGACGTGTAAGGCAAGCCGCGCGTTGACGCAGGCGAACAAGTCGCCTTTGAAGCAAGCCCCCCTTTCCTGTTCCGCGCTTGCACCGTATGTCATTCTTGCATGGCTGAGGACATTTTTCGAATCTGGTAGTCGTAAGTACCGTCAGATACATCGAGGAAAATCCCAATACATACGGTCAGATGCATCGAGGAAAGTCCCAATACGTACGGTCAGATACATCGAGAAAAATCCCGATACGTACGGAGGAAAAGTCACAGTGTACGGGCCAGATACCACAAGCAAAGAGGATTGAAACAAGTGTCTGAATGCGAACGTGTTTGTGGACAAGTGCGAAAAATTATGATTGACATACTTTTCTGCATTTCTGCGTGGAACACATCCAGATTCAGACACTTATTCCAATCCTCGTTGTCTGTGGGATTTGACCCTAAGTATGTCCACAACGGTTGATACACACACCAGAACTCTTGAATCCTGTGAGCTTTCCTTTTTTTTGCGACCCACAAAAAAAAAAAAAAAAAAAAAAAAAAAAAAAAAAAAAATCACAAACGATGTCTCTGAGACTACACTGGAGATCATGACCTGCTCAGGCACACAATGGATGCACCTTACCACTTCCTTTGGCAGATGCAGGCGTTCTCTTTCCGTTTGGATTGTGGTGTGGCGAGGCCCAAATTGCTGATTGGAGTGTGCCCTAGGCTCGATATGTACTCGATTGAAACATCCGGCGCAGCACACCAGAAGACAACAGACTTGGAGGCGCGCCCTTGCATAAGGGCATATTACTCACAATAAGCAAATTCAGACTTGGGCACTTTTGAAAATGCATCTGATAGCTATTACGGGAACTTACGACCATACGAGGACGAATCTGATAGAAATCATGCACAGAGTTTTCTAAGAAAAAGCCTAGTACGAGTATGCCCTAATCCAACTGTGTACTTGTATTGAAACATCTGGCCCCCGGCGAAGCGACCAAGTAGACCCGCTTGCGGAAATATTTGAGCCGCAAACTGAAAACGATAAGACGGCTAGCGCACGCCAGCTAAGAGCTATAAAACAAAACACCGCCCATGATTCAAAGATTGCACGCGATGCAAAACTGCCTCCTGTACAGAACACCGCCCCTGACGCACACGGTTCTGGTCACGCATGGCACCGTCATATGAGACCTAGGTTAACTTTTATAAAGAGTATCCAAGAATGACATTTCCGCATATTGATTGATATTCAGAATTCATGTCATAGACAATGAGTATTGTCCT